CAAAATTCCAGGAAATCGTACAAAAACAAACGAATTAGTCGAGACATCATCGAAATTCCTTCGCGCGGGGCGCTTTTCCGCGTCGCGGTCGGCTCTGCAAAACCAGCGTTTCGCTTGAGACATCCTCAGCAAATTCTGAAAACAAGCGTTTCGCTCGAGACATCCCCAACTCTGCAAAACCAGCGTTTCGCTCGAGACATCCTCAACAAATTCTGAAAAACAAGCGTTTCGCTCGAGACATCCTCAAATTTTAATTCGCCGGCCTCCTTCGACCTCGATATTTATCAGGGAAAAAATTCGCCGGCCTCCTTCAAGTTGGCACCGGGGGACAGGTTTACCAACTAAAAGAGAACCCTGGGCTCGAGCCCTTTCCGGGAAAAAGGGGGGTGGGTCCCCCCCCAACGGGGTCAACTTCGCCTCGTCCTCACGCCGCGACGGCGGTCGGGGGGGTGGGTACCCGCCTCATCCTCACGGCTTCTTATCAATGGGTGGGTGGGTACCCGCCTCGTCCTCACGCTGCGACGGGGGTCGGAGCGCCTTCGGCGCGCGGTGGCTGCCAGGGACGGGGGTCGATGTGGGGGCTGTCGGCGAGGGCGACACCCCCCGACGTTTACCAAGCAACTTTGAGCATGTATGTGTATATATGTACACAGGTTTGGATATATATATATATATGTATATGTATGTATGTATAGACTGCAGCCGCAGGGCATTACATAACATGATGGACCCACGAACCCGGAAAGGGATATAGACATGCGCAGCATGGTCACGTTTTCACGATACCCAACTGGGCGACATCTCACAAAACATCCCACGAGACACCCCGCGAAACATCCCACGAGACACCTCGCGAAACATTCCACGAGACACCTCGCGAAACGTTCCACGAGACACCCCGCGAAACATTCCACGAGACACCCCACGAAACATTCCACGAGACACCCCACGAAACATTCCACGAGACACCCCACGAAACATTCCACGGGGGTGCGACTGGGTGTGGTCGTGCTGGGGTGTGGTCGTGCTGGGGTGTGGTCGTGCTGGTCGTGCTGGGGGTGGTCGTGCTGGGGCGTGGTGCGTGGGGGCGTGGTCGTGCTGGGGTGTGGTCGTGCTGTGGTGAGGTCGTGCTGGGGTGTGGTCGTGCTGGGGGTGGTCGTGCTGGGGGGTGGTCGTGCTGGGGGGGTGGTCGTGCTGGGAGGTGGTGCTGGGGAGTGCGTGGGGCGTGGTCGTGCTGGGGCGTGATCGTGCTGGGGAGTGGTCGTGCTGTGGTGAGGTCGTGCTGGAGTGTGGTCGTGCTGGGGTGTGGTCTTGCTGGGGTGGGGCCGTGCTGGGGTGGGGTCGTGCTGGGGTGGGGTCCTGCTGGGGTGTGGTCGTGCTGGGGTGTGGTCGTGCTGGGGTGGGGTCGTGCTTGGGTGGGGTCGTGCTGGGGTGTGGTCGTTCTGGGGTGTGATCGTGCTGGGGTGTGGTCGTGCTAGGGTGGGGTCGTGCTGGGGTGGGGTCGTGCTGGGGTGTGGTCGTGCTGGGGTGTGGTCGTGCTGGGGTGTGGTCGTGCTGGGGGGTGGTCGTGCTGGGGGGTGGTCGTGCTGGGGGGGTGGTCGTGCTGGGAGGTGGTCGTGCTGGGGAGTGGTCGTGCTGGGGCGTGGTCGTGCTGGGGCGTGGTCGTGCTGGGGCGTGCTGGGGCGTGGTCGTGCTGGGGCGTGGTCGTGCTGGGGTGTGGTCGTGCTGGGGGTGTGGTCGTGCTGGGGTGTGGGTCGTGCTGGGGTGGGGTCGTGCTGGGGTGTGGTCGTGCTGGGGGTGTGGTCGTGCTAGGGTGGGGTCGTGCTGGGGTGGGGTCGTGCTGGGTGTGGTCGTGCGTGCTGGGGTGGTCGTGCGTGCTGGGGAGTGGTCGTGCTGGGGGGTGGTCGTGCTGGGGGGGTGGTCGTGCTGGGAGGTGGTCCTCAGAATTCAGGTCCCCAGGAGAGGACAATCTATAACACAAAACAAGCGTTTCGCTCGAGACATCCTCACCATTTTCTGAAAAACAAGCGTTTCGCTCGAGACATCCTCAAATTTTAATTCGCCGGCAATTCGCCGGCCTCCTTCGACCTCGTTATTTATCAGGGAAAAAATTCGCCGGCAATTCGCCGGCCTCCTTCAAGCAGGCACCGGGGGATTAAGTTTACAAACTAAAAGAGAACCCTGGGCCCACGCCCTTTCCGGGAAAAAAACCGTTACACCGATAAACCGCATCGGTCGATCGGTTGTTCGGTTTATCGGCCCATACATCGATAGCATTATATTGGTGTATTCGTTGGTAATCCGATAAGCCCGTAAATCGATAAGCCCGACCCTCGCCAGCGTGTCGGGATCTCAGCGCAGTAAGGTTTTAGCGGTCTATCGGTTTATCGGTGTATCATTGAGTTTCTCGGATGAGCGATTTATTGGATTATCGGCGCGAGTATATGTTTATCGGTTTATTTGCTAATCGGTGTGGGGCTGGAGTAGTAGTTTGAGTGGTATTGTTTCGAAACTTGCCTGAGGACTATTGGGGAATATTGTGGCACCAAAAGGAATGTCGAGGAATCTTGTTTTAGAACCCTTGGAATCCGTAGGAGCGCTGATGCATTCCAAATGAATCCTTCAGAAAACCTTACGCATCCCCAGGAACAGTCGAGGATATTGGGGAACCCCTAGGAAACCTCAGGAATCCGATGGAATCCTGTAGACCATACAAGGAATCCTGCAGACTCCTGAAAAAGCTGCGGACAACCCGAAGAATTTTTCATAACCCTGAGGAATGATGAAGAACCCGTTGGACCCTCGAATAATTCCGGTGCGTCCAGTAGAACCCTGAATCGTACTGCAGGAACCGTGCAACATCCTGCACACTCCCTGGATAATCTTGAAGATTCCCATTACCAGCGAATGCTAGTACACTAGCGCATGCCAGTACTAGCGAATAGCAATCACACTCCGATTGCCTCTCCTATCATTCCTCTTCTATCTACTAGTAGAATGGTGTGGCGCTTGGATTGCCGGTTTATCCGTGCGGAGTTGCAGTAGAAGTCCGAGTTGTGACATACATGTAAATATGGGCATACATCGATTAGCATGTATACATATATGCATGTATGCATGAATGCATATGTGTACAAACATGTACGTAATGTGTCGATCTGAACATGGATAGGTCCGTCTTTGGTACGAGTGCTACGCACGTGTGTGTACCATATACACATACGTATTTGTATACACGTGTGTGCATTATCTATATAGGTTTGTATACGTATACATATATATATATATATATGTTTATACATAACTATGTATGTACATATGGGTATCCCTCGTTCCGAGTTCCAGCCTGGAAAGCCTCGACAGCGTCCAGGCGATTGCCTTTTTCACCATCAGCCTCCCGAGAGAGACTGCAATCTCTCCTGGCGGGGCTGCGCGAGAGCTCGGGGAGCGGCGTGCACCGCATTCTTGGGCCGCAGCTCCTGGGAGGCTGAGCCAATGAGGGGCGAAGTCGGACAGTGTCGTCGGTCCTTGGGGTTCCCTCGCCCCCAGATGGATTGAACAGCTGCGCCTCGTCGAGGGCATTTCAGGGGCGCCCAGGTCGTCTCGAGCGGTCCCCAGAGAGCCGAGTTGTGACCCGAGAAGAGGCCAATTTTATTTCGGCGGGAGATAGGCCCAGGTGCGGATGCATCGACCCTACATCGCCCATCCGTCGCCGATAGGGCCATGCTCCGCTCAGCAACGCGCGGATTCGCTATCGGGGGCATACCGCCGAACTATCGGTATCGCTGATTCGGATTCGGGTTCGATGTTCACCCCCCTGAGCTGGTCCCCCCCCCCTATGGCTGTCCTCATTTCAAGGCTTCTGCTCCTGGGAGGCCGAGCCAAGCACAGGCCCTTGAGCCTCCTTGGTCGAGCTCCAGCCGAATCTGGCCTCTGCCTGGCCAACTCTGGAGCTCACTCCAGCTCGGTCGCGCCCTGATCTGGCGAATTCGAATTCGAGTCGTGCTCGAGGACGCTTCGCTTCCCAGGGGGGGTGCCACCTGTCGAAGCAGAGATGCACAACTGGACTTTGTTGGATGTCCGCGGGGGTTTCTTGGATCGGCGCTGGACCCTTCGATGACGCGCTGAGCGCGCCGGGGGCCGTGCTGGAGACGCCACCATGGCGGCCCATCGCCAATCCAAGAACCCTGACCTTCCTGGAGGGCTAACAAGTAGCTCCAGGTGATGGGCCATCCCACCACCACTACCAAATGTACGACGGGGGAGAAGGGGGATGAGGAGGTCCTCCTCCTCATCCTCCTCCTCATCCTCCCTCTCCTACCTATGGTAGTGGTGGTGGTGGAATCGGGCACATCATCAGAACTTCGCCGTCTAGATTCCAGTCGAGGCTTTAAGCAGTCCAGATAGATAGGTATATAGGCACGGAGGGCTATGTTCTAGCACTGAGGACTGTCAGGAACATCCTCGAGGAGCTCGCCTGGGCAGAACGAGGTGCGGACTTGGGCGGCCTTGTTCTGAGGGCGAAGTCTAACTGTTTCCGAACAACCGATGCATGGGGCAGATCCAACATTCTTTTCTCACTTTTTAGTCACCAGCGTTTGGGTGTTGCTACGTGTATATATATATATATACACATGTATACACAATCGGGGTGGATGCGTCTATACATGACGCGGCCGTTGCATTCGGCGCAGTTCAAGGTCGGAGAAGCGGTAGATCCGTCGACTGTATTCAGTCACGTCGCATAGCACGGATGAGCAATTGTCCAAAGTTGCCTTTGCATCATTGCCCCTTCGGCCCATCCTTTGCGACTTTTGCTGGTCAAACCTGCTCGAAAACGCCAACATGGTCCTCCAAGGCTCTTGCATCCTTACCGCGAATCCTTATTATGCGACTTGACTGTGCATTCCTGCTTAGGAGCAGCGCCCACATTGTACTCCAAGGCCTGGGAGCGCGCGGTGCCGTCGGTCCGTCGCTCGCGTTGCCCCCCCCCCCGAGAGGTGGGCATGGGCGGCCTTCACGACGCCGAGTTTGTCGGCGGCCTCTACGACGCCGGCCGCTCGGGCGAGTGCTTCGGGTGTTGCTAGGAGTGCACCTGGCCCAACGTGCCCCGCAGCATTTCTAAGGAGGCTCCCACGGCCTCCAGAGCACGGCGTTTTCATTCTCTTCTACTCCGGCCTGGGTCAGGGGCCGTGGCTCGCAGGTCTGGAGTTGTACAGCATCACGCACCACGAAGAGAGTGATTGCAGCACTGTAGCAGGACCGTTCAGGGACGCATGCTGGAGGTGACCTACGTGTCCTCCTCAAAGCGAGTCCCGCGCGAACGGCCCCCCCCCCAAAAAAACAGACGAGGCCCAGGGGTCCCCAGGGGCTTCAAAATTGATCGAATAGTCTGGGGCACCGTGTGGGCTAGGGGCACCTGCGGCAAGTCCCGGGTGAAGTAAAGAAAGTTACCGACAGCAGTTCCTGTTCATTTTGAACGAGGTGCGGTGTCGGCGTCGCCGCGAACGTTTTGCCCGTTTGAGCCAGAAGGCCGCCTGCCCATCACGGTCGTCTCAACAACATCTGCTGTCGGGCATGGTGCCCGTTCGTTCCGTACGAGTCAAGGACGTCCAAAGGAGTGCTGGGCGGTCGCCAGAGTGAAGTACAGAAGGATTGCAGGAGCTGACAACCGGCACCCGTGCCTGCACCACCCCCAGATTTGTCTAGGCCTCCCAGGTGGGGTCCGAGCAGACGGGGTCGGAGGACCGCGCCGCATCGCCGGTGCATCGGCGATGCGGCTCGAGGTGGAGCCCGTCCTTCTCCACGCTGTCGGCGCCGGCGCGTCGTCGACGTCACCGATGCGGCGCGGTCCTCCGACCCCGTGGGCGCCGTCTATCAGGAGCGAAAGGAGGACGTACACGTACATGAGTCCACGCTGGTTTCGAGAGTTCGTATTGCGCGAATGTCCGTATCACGCGGCCGGTCTCGCGGGTCAAGGGGCCGTGCTCATGTACATAGCTGGGCGCGTACGTCCTGTGTTTACCAGCCTGGAGCATATCCCTATCCCTATGCTGGGCACCTCCTCATCACGATGCCAATCTCAGGGATTCCCTTATTTTTGAGGGCGAATCCCTAAGATTGTCATCGCCTTTTGGCGTGTCAATCTTTGGGATAGGGATACGTTGGAGGCTGGTAATTTATGGGCTCCCTATAGTCCAGGAGGCCTCCGAGGTGTCGGGCCGGGCTTCCCGAGGGTCCATTGTGCGTGTGCGCGTGCTCGGGTGTGCGGGGCCCCGCCTCGGCCTTACGGGGGCCCCGCCCTCGGGGTGCGACGCGGCCCGCACCCCTGCGCATGCAGTGTAAAACGCAGCGCGTGAGTTACCTACCCCGCTTTCGCTTCCAGGCAAAACCACGTCATACCACGCGCCTCCCCGTCAAGCGGCCTGACCAGTACAGGCCGCAGCTTGGCATCGCTTGGTATCTCTTGGAGGCGAGGGTGGTCAAAAGCGAGGCAGGTTTGTTTGCCCCCCTACAATCGCAGCAGCCGACCGCGAGGCGCGGGGTACGGCCACCCTGCAGACGGCCGGCGGTTCCCGCCAATTTTCGAGAGCTGTGCTGCAGCTGCAGCCCTGAGGATTCTACCATGAAGCGCGCCATGGTCGACGACAGAGAAAAAGAGTCTGGGTTCCCAAAACGGACTGTCAAATCTCTCACAATCTTCGCCCAACCGACCCAAAGTGAAGGACCGCTTTGGGTGCTGAAGGGGCTCGTTGTGCCTCGTGTCGTGTCGTGGCCGTTCCTCCAGAGCACCCCTTGTGCCCCCGGGCTTTCTTCAGAAGCCAGGCGAGGGCTGGCAAGCCCGTGGCTGCTATAAAACGGAGCTCCGGGAATATTTGTCGTGCTCCTTCCGGGAAGCAGCCCGTGCACTATTCGGTGCGCTGGGCTTGATTCCGGGAGTACGGTGTATTCTCCCGGGGGGATCGTTTTAGCAGCCCTGGATGTGCCAGCCCTCGTCCAGCTTCCAGCGTTTGCTGGGCCGAAAGGGGGCTCTTCCCTTGTTTCAGTAGCGCTCCTTATTTCAGAAGCCTGACTGAGGAAATGACTCTGCGTGTTGTCCGCTCGTCAGGATCGGGGACCCGAGGAAGAGAACAGCTGCAGACGCATATACACCGTCGGAGCTCCGCGCGGATCTCTTGGATCGGCGACGGCTCCCCCTCGCTGCGACTCCACTGCTGCCTCTGGCGCGCCGTCTGGGGGCGGGCCCCGGAAGAAGTGATGCGGGAGCACTCCCTGGAGCCCAGGGGCCAGGCGACGTGCCCCAGGGGCTACGCTTATGTCGGGCCTGTCCCCCTACAGGGGGCTTTTCGACGAAAAATAAAAGATACCCCAAACATAGCCAAAACATAGTCCAACAACAGTCTGGAGACTATTTCTTGACCGTCGAAAATCCCCCTGTAGGAGGACACGCCCGACATAAGGCTACGCGGCGCGCCCCGGCCGATTCGGCGATTTTGGGTCTGGGCTCTTTCTAACATAATCCACAGGATTGAAAACTGAGGCTCCATTCGGGGGTGGACAGACCTCCTACCCTGACACGTCGATTAAGGAATTGGTCGGTTCGCGAGAGGGCGTCGCGGCCGTCAGTTTTGCGGGTCCAGGTCCGCCGGTTTCGGTCCCAGGCCGTTTTCATGAAGGGGAGGTCTACTTAAGGGAGGTTTGTCCACCGCCGATCCATAGGATCCAACAGAGAGGACCTGAGTCCTGAAGACACTCCAACTCGGGCCTCAAGGGTGCGGTGGCGGATGCACAAATATGCATGCATACATCCATGCATCCACACCTACCTACCTACCTTCACTCATTCAATCATACACGCATACATACAAGCATCCATGCACGCATGCAGACAAACATACATACATATCGACAAGCATACTGACATACACATACATGCATATACATACACGCGTATATGCATATACGCCAGCATACATACATACATGCAGTTATGCATACATACATGTATGCTCACGCACATAGGTATATACAAGCGCAGACATGTACACATACACACGTATACATATATTCAAATCCATGATTACACGAATATGTATATTTACATGCGTACATACACATACACACATACATGTTCAGACATGCATGCATGCATACATACACCCATACATACATGCAGGCATACATGTATACACGCATACGTACATACATGCACACATGCATACGTCAATACACACATGCATACACGCATACACACATACGCACACACATACAATCATGCACACGCAAACACACACATATGTATATATATGTATATATGTATATACGTCCATGCATGCATGCTATAAGCACACATATGTACATGCAACCATACATGCATGCGAACATACACACGTACACGCACACACATACGTACATACACACATGCATGCAGGGAACCACACACATACACATATATGTAGTGTATCAGATATATATATATATATGTGTTTATATCCAATCATACATAACCATACATGCATGCACACAGACGAACGCATATATATATATATGTATATATAGACATGTATACACACCTACACATGCATGCACACACATATATATATATATACACATACATATCTACATACAAAACAATACATGCATACATACATACATACATACATACAAACATACATACATACATACACATACTTCCATACAGACCGACATATTGACAGACCGGCATAGATACATACACACATACACACAGCACAACAACCACACAACCACACATACATACAAATCAACATACTTACATACACAGGTGTATATATATATATATGTACATATATACACCTCCATTCAAAACACATCCGACATATTCTGTGCGGGTTTGTAGGGACCCCCGGTTCCCGGGGCCGCCAGAGATTTCCGCAATGGCACCAGAGGGCCCCCAGATGGCATCGAAACTGCACCAGAGCTCCCGAGAAGAGTTCCGAGACGGCCCAAGGAGGGCCCGAGACGACCAAAGACAGCCCCAAGATAACCCAAGACGGCCCCAAAGGCAGCCAAGACGCCCCAGGGCGGCTCCGAGGGGACACCATAGAGGGCCCCAAGTGGCCGAAATCGTATATTTTCTTTTGGTTTCTCAAGTATTCTGAGATTCTCGCGCTCTCAACCGCCTGGGCCCCAAGACGCCCCAGGAGGGCCCAAAGGCCTCCAGGGTCGCCCTGAGACGGCCCAAGAGGCGCCCAAGAGAGCCCCAAGACAGCCCCGGAGGGACCCGAGGGGGCCCCAGAGGCCCCCAAGACTGCCCAATGAAACCCCAAGAGGCTTCCAAGACGGCCCAACAAGCCCCCAAGAGGCCCCCAAGACAGACCAAGAGGACCACGAGTCTGTCCATGAGGGCCCCAAGACGGCCGAAAATGCTGTCAGGTCGGCCCCAGTGGGCCTGAGACGCCCCAAAAGAGCCCCAGGAGGACCCACAAGAGGGCCTGAAGAGGCGAAAATCATAGTTTTCACATTGGTTGCCGATCGCACGCCGCAGCTTGCTGGCATCTGCGCGCCAGAGACAGAAGCGCGCGTCGGCAAACTTCGACTCACGCAGCTCCGTGGATTCCAACAACGGGTCCACACTAGTACGTATATGTATATGTATGTACATGTGTATGTATAAATAGCTACGTATATGTTTAAATATCTGTATGTATAGACGCATAGCTATATCTATATATATATACACATCTATATGTGTGTGTGCGCGTGTAGATGTGTATGTAAATATGCATGTGTGTAATAAATGTATGTGTAATGTATATATATATATATATATATATGGTCGAGACGTTCCAATCCGATGTTCGTTTTGTGTTGTCCGAAGTTGGTTCTGGAGAGGTTTGGACCCCTTCCAGGGCCCTGCCTTTCACCTTGAGCCTTCTCTTGACAGCCCCATGGCCCGGCAGCCCGAAAACCCTCGCGTCGTGTTTTTTTTCCCGACGCGAGAATGTCAGGGCCGGGTGTCGAACATCGATCCCCAGACCTGTCCCGGGGAGCGTTCTGGCCAGAATGTCAACGCGGATCCAGCCGTGGCGATGAGGAGCCCCCTGGAGGCCCGAAAAGGCGACAAGAAGTCCCAGTTCGATCCTCGAACCTCGAACTCGAGGATGTCAGGGTCCTCCGCCTCCTCTGCATCGTCCTGCAGATCTCCCTCTGGAGGGAATCGGCTTGGACCCCCCAGACATCTCCAGAGGAGGCTCACGGAGGCCCCCGAAAACCTCCTTCAGGCCCAAGAACGGCCAAGAGCTTCGATTCTTCTCCTCCTCCTCCTCCTCCTCCTCCTCCTCCTCCTCCTCCTCCTCCCCCTTCTCCTCCTCCTCCTGCTCCTCCTCCTCCTGCTCTTCCCCCTCCTCCTCCCTACCCTCCTCTTCCCTACCCTCCTCCTCCCTACCCACCTCCTCCTCTCCTCCTCCTCCCCTCCCCTTCCTCCTCCTCCTCCTCCTCCTCCTCCTCCTCCTCCTCCTCCTCCTCCTCCTCTTCCTCTTCCTCCTCCTCCCCGCTACCTCCATGTGTGGGAGTGGGGGAGGAATGAGAAATGGATTTGTGCCATCTGTAAGTCCAGATGTGCACCCAGCAGCTTTGCGAGCCGCAAGGAAGAGGCTTGCAAAGGACATCCCTCGGAATGTTCTGGGCTAGCTGCTAACCCACGCGGCCATCAGCTATATGTCTCCCAAGAGGCCAGGGGTGCAACTTTTATTATTGCATGTGCTCAGTGCGGCCTTTACAGTGAATCGAATGTCGTGGGCCTTAGTGAAGTCTGTGGAGGAAGGTTCAAGCGCCCAGGTGCTAGAACCCAGTGGAATCTGCTCTGTAAGGGGAAACACCCCAGAACGTGCTGATCCTCCTCCTCCTTCTCCTCCACCTCCTCCTCCTCCTCCTCCTCCTCCTCCTCCTCCTCCTCCTCCTCCTCCTCCTCCTCCCCCTCCACCTTCTCCCTTCTCCCAGACGTCCGGCGCCGAGGTCGTGCTCCAGATCTCCCCCCTGGAGGGCTTCGGCGGGGGCCCAGGGTCGCCGCCCCCTGGCCCGGAGGGCGCCTTGTGGCGGGTGCACCCGCGGCCAGGCTCCGCGCCCGCGCAGCTCGTGGGGGCAGCAGGGGGAGGGAGCTCTTCCTACTCCTGGTCCTCCTCCCTCCTCCCCTCTCTCCCCTCCTCCTCCTCCCTCCTCCTCCTCCTCTCCTCCTCCTCCTCCTCTCCTCCTCATCATCATCATCATCATCATCAGCATCAGCATCATCATCATCATCAACATCATCATCAGCATCATCATCAGCATCATCATCATAATCATCATAGTCCTCCTCCTCCTCCTCTCCTCCTCTCCTCCTCCTCCTCCTCCTCCTCCTCCCCCTCCTCCTCCTCCCTCCTCCTCCTCCTCCTCCTCCTCCTCCTCCTCCCTCCCCCTTCTCCTCCTCCCTCCTCTCCTTCCTCCTCCTACCCCCATCCGTCTCCCATCCCTCCTCCCCCCCTCCTCTTCGTTTTCCTCATTCTCCTGTTTCTTCTCCGTCCCGTTTTCTTTAACACTCGTCCCTGTCACACCCTCAGGCGTGTCGACGTACGGCGGGGGCTGGTCTTGTCGTCTGAGTTTCTTAGCCATTTATCATCCTGGTGCTCGAAGTGTGTTAACAGTTTCCCGGATGGAGGGGGGGTCCTGTTCAGATGTTGGGTCGTTTTCCAGCGCCGTGCGCATTCGCTTCGACATTGTGCAACAGCTTCCCAGATGGAGGGCGGGCCGCTTTCAAATGTGGTTCTCGTTTTCGCGCCGCGCACATTCGTATGAAACGTTTGCAACAGTTTCACGGACCCCCTTCTCCTTCTCCTCCTTCTCCTGCTCCTCCTGCTGCTCCCCCCCTTCTCCCCCTTCTCTCTTCCGCCTCTCCTCCTCCTCTTCCTCCTCGTCCCCCCCCTCCTTCCCTCTCCTTCTCCTCCTCCTCCTTCTCCTCCTCCTCCTCCTCCTCCTCCTCCTCCCCCGCCTGCTCTTCTTCCTCCTCCGCCTTTCTCTTCCTTTTTCCCCTCCTTCCAGATTGCTAAAACATAGCTCTCTTGACATGTGGACTGATCTGTTTTAATTTCAAGTTAAATTATTCGTCAGGTGTCGAGGTCGTGATGTTATATGTGGCCCTCCCAGATGGTCAAGGGAGGGAGGGAGCCCCCTTCCTCCTCCTCCTCCTCATCATCATCAGCATCATCATCATTCTCACCATCATCAGCATCATCAGCATCATCATCATCATCATCATCTTCATCTTCACATTCATCTTCATCTTCATCTTCATCTTCATCTCCCTTTCTTTTCCCCTCTCTTCCTACTGCCCTCCACGTCCTCGTCGTTCTCCTCCTCCTCCTCCTCCGCCTCCTCATCCTCCTCCTCCTCCTCCTCCTCCTCTTCGTAGCCATTTTGGCTCAAGATGCCTGCATTTGGGGGCTCCGCGCCTCCGTGCCAAAATCTGAGCTGCCAGAGCAGCACCCTTGAGTACTCGGAGATTTCGGGAGAATCGCACCGCCCAGCTGCCAGCGCAGTTGGGATTAGAGCTCCCCAGAAGCGACTAGTCACGCAGTCATGGCGCCGCGCCCATTCTCCTGGTGTACTTGCGGCAACTGGACCTACAACTTCCGCCTGCTGCACAACGGCGGGATGTGCGGCAAGTGTGGTGCGCAGGCCACGCTATTCCAGCCCGACGCTGCAGCGGCGAAAGGCAAAGGTAAAGGAAAGAAAGGCATGCTGGGCAACAAGGGCGGCAAGGGCGAGGCTACGCCGGCCTGGAACAACACTGGAGGAGGCAAAGGCCCTTACCCGTGGTCCAAGGAGCCTGACGTTTCGCAGATGCTCGCCATCCTCTCGAACGTCCCCGCCCTCGCGGCGCACGCCGACGTGTTCCGCCAGGCTGGCACTTCCTTCAAGGCGAGCAAGGCGAAACCGGTGTCGCCCAACCAGGAGGTGTACCGCAGCAGCCAGACTTTGGAGAAGAAGGAGATGGCGCTCCAGAAGGCCTCGGCGGACGTCGTCAAGCTGGAGTCGGCTCTCCAGGAGGCGAAGCTGTGGCTGCACCAGACGGCGGAGGAGGCCCTCTCCGCAAAACGGGCCCACAACATTGCTGTCAAGGCCCTCGCGGACTCCACGGGCGCTGCCAAGACGCAGGACGGCTACACCGCAGACGGCAAGAAGATATACCTGGCGTTGGACGAGTTCGACTTCGCAGCCAGCGACGAGTTCGACGACACCCAGAAGGCGCAGCTCCAGGCCATCCAGACGCAGGTGGAGGAGCACTGCAAGCAGGTGGCGGACCTCCAGAAGACGATGCAGGAGGCGCTCAAGAGCGTCAAGGAGATCCGCGCAGCCCCAGCGAAGCGGCAGCGTGGCCAGGACGGCGCCGTCCCTGGCCCAGGCGCAGCCGAAGCCGAGGGCCCTGACGAAGACCAGGCACCTGCTGCAGCGGAGGACGGCCCCAGCTTCGCCGCCTCAGAGAGCGACATCGCCGCCAAGATCGCGAGCGCCAGGGAAGCCACGCTGGCCAACATGGGCGACTTCCCTCCCCTGGGCACTGGCAATGGTGCTAGGGGCTCTCGTGATGGTGCGCCCAGACCTGCGGCCGCGCAGCGAGGGTGACCTACCCAACGGAGTCGGAGGGGGTAGCCACACGCGGCTAGGCTGTGCGACCGCGCAGCCGCCCCTTCCGCAGTATGCAGCGAGCAGCGACGCACGGGCTCCAGTTCCAGAGAACTGCGACGCGACGTACTTCTTCTCGAACATCTCGGAGTGGGGCCCGCAGGCGGAGGGATTCATGCAAGCCCAAGCCGAGCAGTACGACGTTATAGGCTTCGCGGAGATGCACCTGCGAGGCGTGAAGATCCTGGACTTCACCAAGAAGATCAGCAAGGACGGTTGGAAAGCCGCCGTCACGGCTGCAGTGCCGTCGGGCCGATCGACGGAGGGCACGACGGGCGGCGAGGCGATCATATCCAAGCGCTCCCTGGCCACGACGTCGTTCGAGGGGCGGCGCAAGCACGAGATAGAGCGATCCGCAGTCGACCCCTTCCAAGGCTTCTGCCCCACGACGTGGCACACGAGGGCAGGCAACATAGTGGTCACCTCCGCGTACATGCAGCCGAAGCACGGCATGACGGGCGTCAACGAGAAGATGATGATCAGGTTAGCCAGCTTCAGCAACATGATATCCGACCCGTGGGTTGTCCTGGCCGACTGGAACAACCCGCCAGAGGCATGGGCTGGAACCAAGTGGCTTCGCAAGATTGGCGGCCAGTTGATCCTCCCTGAGAACGCGAAGACCACGTGCAACCTGGGGCGCGGCTCCCTCATCGACTACGGGATCTGCAAGAGCGGGTTCGGCGGCTCCCTCAAGCTCGAAGCCGTGCCCGAGGTCCCCTGGAAGACCCACGTGGGCCTCCTGCTCTCCATGCGTGCGGGGAAGCAGCACTGGTGGCACCGTTGTATGCAGTTGCCGAAGCAGCTCCCGACGGTGGGGCGACCAGTGAAGAAAGCGGACCCGAACAGCAAGCGCCAGAAGTCGATAGTCGAGCGGCGCCAGCGCGCAAAGGCCAGACTCCAGGAGGAGCTCCAGGATGCCTACGAAGAGCTCCACAGCTGGCCGACTACGGCGGACACTGACAGCAACGACTCGGTGACTTTCGACATCCCGCTCGAAGTATGGCGTGCCACAGCCGTCACGGTGGCAGGCCTGGGAGAGGGCAACGAGGGGAGGAAAAAGTACGCCGACTCGAACAACTCCCCCTCCTCCCACTTCCTGCTGACCCGCGACCCCGAGGCGCAGGAGCAGGTCGCCAGAGCGTTCGGCAACTGGGTGCAGACCGTAGAGAAGGCCACGCTCAAGCACCACGACATCCCCGAGACCGACTGGAAGCAGTACGAAGGCAGGGCCAGCGAGTACAAGATCACCTGGCTCAGGACCCGCGCTGCCCCAGCCCTTGCACATATGCGGGACCCGACGCTGGAATGGTGGCACTTGGCCACGACGATCATCGCCAGATACCAGTTAATGAGGCGCAAGTTCGCGGAGCAGGACTATGTGCACATGGCAAACAGGATGAAGGAGCTGCTGGACGCTGCCACCGAGAACAACTTCCTCGCCAAGTATGCGGAGCCAGATGATAAGAGGGTCCTGGATGACTGGACCAAGGCCATCGCCGACTTGAGCGAGCAGCACATCGACGCGCTCCAGGGCCTCCTGGAGATCGGCCTGAGGTACCAAGCCCGTGCGGTAGGCATCGGACTCGCCAACGGCAGGCGGGCTTTCGCCAGCTGGGTCACTCGCATGTGGAAGCAGGCTCCAGGTGCGCTTCACCGACATGTGAAACCAGCTGCCACTCGGCGAGACGAGCACTACGGGGACGAGGGCAGCACCTACGCCACACCGTGCGAGATCATGGACCGCCGCGCCGACTACTGGGAGAACGTCTGGTCCGACTCCAGCGCCGACCCCAAGAGCATCCTCGACGGCCTGAAGTATGTCACGGAGCAGGCCAAGAGGGAGGACGTTCACTTGCTCGAGCTGGAGGACCTCGACCGCCTGCTAGCGAAGCAGAACCCGAAGAAGCCCAGAGGTATCGACAACCTCGGCCCGTTGGAGGTGCAACGACTTCCAGAGCCAGGACGCAGACAGATGCTGGAAGTCCTCAACCTCTGCGAGAAGCACCTCATGTGGCCCTACCAACTCTACACGGTCATAGGTGCGGTCGCCCCCAAGCCGAAGGGAGGCGACAGGATCCTGGGGATGCTCCCGTACACGATGAAGGTTTGGTCCAAGCTCCGTTACCCGTTGAGCGAGAGGTGGAGCGACAAGCTTGGCGAGTTCTGGGACACGGCCATCAAGGGGAGCAGCCCGCTGCAAGCCTCACTGGCGAGGGCCTGCATGGACGAGTGCTGCTTCACCATGGGCATCAGCTGCGCGACCATCCTTTTAGATGTGGAGAAGTTCTACGACAGCATCTCCATCACAAAGCTCTGCCGGGCCGGCCTGAGGCAGGGCTTCCCTGCAGTCATCCTCGCGATGGAGCTGCAGATCTTCCTCGCCCCGCGGTGCTTGAAGGAGCGCCAGTGGATCAGCAGGTCGATCACGATCGGGAAGTCGCTGGTGGCTGGATCCCCCCACGGCGGCAAGCTGGCGAAGGTTCTCCTGGGCCCCATCCTCCAGCGCGCCCACGACAAGTACCAGTTCAGCATCATGATGAAGACGTTCGTAGACGACACGATCATCCGCAGCGAGGGCACGGCCAGTAACGTGGAGACCACTCTGGTCCAAGCTGGCACCTCCATCGGCCACGACATGCAACTCGAGGGCCTCACGATCAGCCCCAAGACAGTCGTGGTCGCCAGCACGAGCAGCATCGCCAACAGAGTGGCGCGAGCACTTCGGGGAAAAGGCATTCGGGCCACCTCTGCCCAGGCTGCCACGGACTTGGGGGCCGACGTCGCCTCTGGTCGGGCTCGCGCCAGGGCCGCAGCACGCAGGCGAATGGTGAAGGCTAGCAGGCGCTCCGCAGCCATTCACAGAATCAGGAGAATAGCCCGATTAAAGAGAGAATCGCAAGGTCTATGGAGGACGGGTGCCATGCCGTCTGGGACCTACTCACACCAGCACCACGGGCTTCCTGAATACGAAGTGCTACGCCTCCGACGTCAAGCTGCTGCAGCCGCCTCTGGAGTGGGACCAGGGAGATGCTTGACGACTGCCCTGGCCATCGAGTACGGCGACGACGACCCCGCTAAGAGTACCAGGCGACAGCAGATAGCAGCGTGGTTGACCATGTGGCGCCAGAGCCCAGGCATCCACGACAGGATTCGGCAATCCTGGGACAAGATACTCGGCCGCTTACGAAAGGCGGGCCAACGCAAGTGGGGGATCGTCCGAGGCCCAGTGGGAGCCACCATAGCCACGCTCCTCGAGATAAACTGGGACCCGATCTCGGCGACCCAGTGGGACACGGACGCTGGCAAGAGCTGGCTGATCCCAGCCAGGGAGGACGAGGACTTCAAGAAGCTGAACGCGGACTACTCGGAGATCTTCAGCGACATCAGCAGCTCAATGGACAGAATTCTCTGGACTCGGGCTTCGAGACATGAAGCAGGTGACGACCTGCATAGCGGAGGAGACTTCAGCATGATCAAGCAGGAGCACCGCCGTTTCGCCAACAAGGAGCAGTACAGCGAGATTGCGCTCAACACGGTGGTCACGACGGGCGGCCAGTGGACACGTACACGGATGGCTGCCGCAGGGTACGAAGTTTCCCCAATTTGCCCGAGATGTGGAGATCAAGATGAATCTATTTTCCACAGAATATGGACGTGCGCAGCCAACTGCGACCACGACGACTACACGGACAGCGACTTCCTCACCGCACAGGCTTTCGCGAACTACGAGGCCTCCCCGTCCTTCTGGCTCCGCGGCGTCCCCGCGGCAGCGGACACTATACCCGTCTTCGACGAGATCCCACCCATCGCGGACAGCTTCGGGGACATCTCGAGGATCCCACGCGACGAGGAGGGTTTCGCTGAGGTTTTCGGAGACGGGTCGGGCGGTGAGCATAGCAGTGATTGGCGCCGCAGACGCGCTGGCTTAGGTTTCGTTTCTCTGGCCCCAGGTGCTCTGGACCCAATCGTTGGTTTTTCGTCTTCCCTGGAAGGGCGGGTCCAGACGGCCCCGAGGGCCGAGCTCTCTGCTTGTCTCGCCGCCCTGGAACGAATCCCTGGGAAGATCCGATATATGACGGACCACCTGGCCCTGGCCCAGGTCTGGTCCAAAGGTGTCCCGCTCCACCTTGCTTCCTCGACCCCTCCCGCGAACGTCGACCTTTGGACCAGGATCCTGGAGGCTGCGGGAGATAGAGTCATTCGCGCAGTGTGGATCCCTGCCCACGTTGAGGCCAGGGACGTGAATACCGAGGAGGCCCTTCGCAACGCTGTAGGCAATGCGTGCGCTGACATAGTCGCGGGCCTAGGAGCCCAGGCGAGCCAACTGAGTCGTCTCACGAATCCCGACACCGACCGCCGCGATGCCGAGGCCGCCCTGGTCAGACGACGCGCTCGGAGAGCTCTTGTCGCGAGTATCCTTGCCGATCCCTGGACCGCGACTCGGCCCGAGGCCCCTGTGGCCCAGCGTCTCCCCATCCTGACCAGGATTTTGCGAGCCAGCGAGCACCGGTGGCGGAAGGTTGGCGCGAAGTATTTCTGCACGGTTTGTTCCCAGTTCGAAACCAGGGAGTCAATTCGAGAAGGGAGCCAGTCAAGGTGCTGCCCCAAGCCCCAGGGCCAGGGCATCTCACCGCTTCGCGGCCCCCAGATCGTGTCGGGCAAGCTTTTGTGTTCGAGCCACAAGCTCTCTTTCTGGGGCCGCTTTGGCTTAACGTTTTGCACGGTGTGTGGCAAAACTGCCACGTCCGACCCAAGGTGGTTGGTTGACAGGTGCAGGGCCTCCCCCAAAGGTGCGCAAAACCTCGCGAGGATCGCCCGAGGTTTGTATCCGCACGTGGGGGGGCCCCCGCAGCACGTTCGGGACGCCGAGATTTCCATATACGTCCAGTAACTCGTCTGGCTTTGATCCCAGTTTTTTTCTTGGGGGCTCTGCAGGTGGCGTAGATGGCAAAGTGATGCGACGCCCTTCGGGAGGCCAGTGAAAGATCACGAGCGCCATCCTGCAGGGCTCCCCGATACCCAGCGGTGTCGACTGTCGTTGTCGCCCGTCATGCATAGTCCTGCATAGTCCTCCTCCTCCTCCTCCTCCTCCTCCTCCTCCTCCTCCTCCTCCTCCTCCTCCTCCCCCCTGGTCGGTTTTCATTTCAGGGTTGCCCAGGGTGGGTAGGGTTGGGTAGGGTTTGCCCCAGGTGGTTCGAGAGGCCGATTTGGAGGATTTGCGACAGGAGTGTGCTCCCAGTGTCACGACGTGTGTCATGATTCGTCTTAACGCCTTAACGTCCTCCCGCCCCCGTCCTCCTCCACCACCTCCTCCTCGACTTCTCGGTGCTGCGGGGCACGCGTGTCGTCTTCGCGGGTCTCCGACAAAGTGGTTTCCAATCCCAGCGTCTCGATCTGGTCCTCCGGGGCCCGTCATAGGGCCCGGGACCCTCAAAAACGGATCTGTGCCGTAGCTACCTCCGGGGGAGGGGTCGGGCCCTCTGGGGCCTCGACATCCTTGCGTCGTTGAAGGATCACGACGGGAGGTTTTCTGCATCTTCGACCTGCCAGGGTTTGCCTGCCGGGCCCCGGGGCCGTCAGAAATCGACACGGGACGAACAGACTGTCCCTAGCGAGGTGTCCAGACTTCTGGGGGGCCACATCACGACGTCGGTTGCCTGGACCCTCCCCCTCCTCCCCTCCACGTCCTCCTCCTGCTCATTGCCCTTGGGATCGCGGGTCTCCTCCCAGAGACGTAGCCTTACCCTCCTTTTTCTTGCACCTCTCTGGCCGGCGACGGCGCCGGGGCCGCAGATTGAGGGAGGCGAAGAGGAACAACGGCATAGAGCATAGACAAAGACAGGAACCTGTCGGAGGTCCGCGCAGTTTACTTGGGTCGGCGCTGGACCTCATGGCGGCGCAGTCCTTGGCTCGCTTCGCGTGCCAGGGGAGGGGGGTCCAGCGCAGACCCGGGAACTTCGCGCAGACCTGTGAAAGTCTACGTACGTTTCGAATGTGCAGCCCTGCTCACTTGTCTGCCCTCCTCCTCCTCTTCCTCCTCCTCCTCTCCTCCCTCTTGGCTCTGGAGCCCAGGCTCGTGCCGCTCCGTCCGCTTCCCTCTCCTCGCTTGGCGAGGCTTGCACTCATTATACCTGTGCGGTGCCATGCCTACCCACCAGCGTGGGAATGCGTGGCAGGCCCTCAGTCCTGATCGCCGCCCTGGGCTGTGGGAGGCATGTGCGGTCGGAGGGAATGAAGAAGCAAACAGCACACTACCCAGGCTGGACCTCGCGGCTCCTTCGGGGGTGTTTCACCTGCGCAATTGTCGCCCCTCTCGTGGGCCCCTGGGGGCCGAACTCTTCGGTCTCCTCATGTACATGTCGCACGTCTCGCTGGGCCCTTTCGCGTACCGTTTTCATTGTGATTGGGTGATTACCTCCTTCAGCAAGGGTAGGGAGGCCACCAGCAGCATGTGCTCCTGTGCTGACCTATGGGTTCGGGTGTGGGAGCGTGTGGACAATGTGGGGGGACGATGTTGTGAAGAAAGTAAGAGGCCATGCACTCGTGCGAGGCGATGTTTACCAGCCTGGAACATATCCTTATCCCTATGCTCGGCATCTCCTCATCACGATGCCAATCTTAGGGATTCCCTTATTTTTTGAGGGCGAATACATAAGATTGTCATCGCCTTCTGGCGTGCCAATCTTAGGGATAGGGATAAGTCCGAGGCTGGTAAGTCTGGGGAACAAATTTACCGACCTGGCTGCGCGAGAAGGCGCTGCACATGCAGCCCAGCGACGGTCCCGCCAACGATGGTGACAAGTAGTCTGCCAGTCTCGCCACCATGTTTACAACTACCTCGCTCGTACCCTCAGGGCCTTGGCTTGGCATCGCTCGGACGTGTGCATTTTTCCTTCGGCGAGGACCATCGAGGAGCATACTTGAACATTTGGCGAAACAACCACGCACGATACCGAAAACAGCACAGGGAATGGACGTCCGAGCGATGGCGAGTTGGGCCCTCCGCACTTCCAGCCATCGAGTCGTGCTGTGGCGCACGATGGCAGGATTGAGTCGGGCCTGTCCCTCTACAGGGGGATATCCAAACATAGTCAAAACATGCTCTGGGGACTATTCTTTAGCATTTTCCTACCATTTTGGAGTATTATTTGAGTATGTTTTCTTCTTCGTCCACAATCCACCTGTAGGGGGACAGGCCCGACATAAAGGCAGGAGGAGGAAGGCCCCACGGCTTTCGGCGGACGTCGAGGCTGAGCTCGGAACCTGCAGTGTGGTAAGGTTCGCAGGCCAGGTCCGAGGTGTCCGCCGCCTGCGCTTTGCCAAGACGGACCCGCCCCCCTTGAGGCAGCCTGGCTGCCGGCAAGCGGATAAGGGGCACCGCCTGGGGCCGCTGGGCCCGTTCGTTCTTGCTGCGGGGTGCGTGGAGCACGCTCCAGGGACAGCACGCGGGGTCCGGCACGGACTCGTCGCGGCCAGTGCGCTCGTGGCTCCGCGGCCCAGGTCCGCCTGCCGGAGCTCTGGCGGGGCGCTGCACCCTCGGACTCTGGCCTGCGGCTGGCCCGGCGGAGACGGGGCCTCGACCCCCTGCTCCTCTTGGGGCGTGGCCCTGGATGCCCAGCGCGGGGACCTTGAGTACGGTAGGTTTGCGTCGTGTCGACCAGCGGCGACCCCAGCGCGGACGTTCAAGGTTGAACGCCGCCAGCGACCCAGAATCGATCGATGTTGAACGATCGGACGTTGCGGCAGCGGCCGATCGTTCAAGGTTGAACGATCCCTGCGGTGTCAAAAACCAACGCTGGGGTCGGCACGACACGAACCTGCCGTGGGGGAACAAAAAGTGGCATGAACATAAAAACTCGGAGGTCCGCGCGGATTTCTCGGATCGGCGCCGGACCCCCCTCCCTGGCGCGCGGAGCGCGCCAGGGGCGGCGCCAGCGGCGCCGCCGGGGGGCCCCAGCGCCGATCCGAGAAATCCGCGCGGACCTCCGAGTTTTTGTGGTTATGCCACTTTTTGTTCCCCTATGGAGAGGGCCTCCCCGAGCAGCAATCTCGCACGCCGAGCCGTGTCTTGCGCGCAGAGGCGCCGCACGTCGAGTCGCGCACTCTGCGCGTAGGGGCCCGCTCGTTTTGCGCCGTGGAGGCTCGCCTGGCGGTGCCCACGGCCCCTGGCGCGCGGAGGCGCGGGCCCGGGCAGGCCCGTTCGGCGCTGCTGCCCCTGCAGGGAGGCCCGACGGCCCGCTCGGCCTCGCCCCGGCCTCCCCGGCCCAGAGCTCCTCGAGGTTCGCTCCTCGACCTTCGATCTTCGCTGCCCGGTCTGCGAGCCTCGCCCCTCGGTGCCCTTGCCCTCCGCTCGGGCCGGACGAAAGAGGGGGATTGGGAAAGGGGGGGTTACGAAATGTGCTGTATGCAGCGGGTTTCGGCCCCCACGGAGGGGCCCATTCTTCGATACATGGCCGCCTCCGGCGCCGGGAGGCGCCGGGAGAATCAGCCACGTGAGCTGATTCTCACACACCCCCTCTGCTATCTCCCCCTTTCCCCCGACCCGATCCTCGCGAGGATCCTCGATCTTCGCTGCCCGGTCTGCGAGCCTCGCCCCTTCGGTGCCCTTGCCCTCCGCGTCCCGCGCCCCGCGCCGCCCTGCGTTGGCGCGCGCGGCTGCCGACGGCGGCGCGTCCCGCCGCCGTGCCAGCGCGGCACCCCGGGTGGCGACAGCGCCGGGAGCGCACGGGAGGCCGTGAGGTGTGACACCTCCTGCCCCGAGGCTTGGGATAGCCATAGCATTCAGGAGGGGGAAAAACACAGACACAATTAATCGTCGATTTCCTATAAATATTAAATATGAGAAGTGGGAGGGGGAAGACAAAAACCCAGAAAATATGGGATTTGTGTGTATTTATTTGTGTGTCCCAGGGCCCCTTCAAACATGTGGCACGGGCTTCCGCGTCGTGCCGGGGCGTCTCTGCTGTGGGAGACGATCAGTGCCACTGATCGTCTCCCACAGCAGAGGGGGCATGCTGCCAAATACATTCCAGCTATCTAGCAAGTGTTTGAAGCCTGTTTCAAACATGACATGTGTGAAACCTGTTGCACCACAGTTTGAACAAACATTGAAGCACCATTCAAGTTCAATAGTAGAGCTCTTACACTGTCCACTGTCATGGCATCCGCAATTTCCTCTGTCACTTCTGTCCGCGCTTATCCTCGTTTTCTTCCCTTCCTTTTCTTCCTTTGTCTCGTGGCCACTTCTGGGCGTCTTTGGGTCCTCCTGGGGCGCTCCTGGGCAGTCTGGCGCCTTCGGGGTCCGTCTTGGGAGCCTCTCGTGGGCCGCCCTGGAGCCCCTCGTGGGGCCACAGGGTCGTCATGGGGTCTCTTGGGCCCTGGGCAGTCTGGGAAGCATCTTAGGCCATCTGGATGGCATCTTGGGGCGTGTTGGGGGCCTCTTGGGCTCTTGGGGTGTCTTTGGGCAATAGTTGAAGGTCTCTTAGGCCATATTGAGTTTATTTAATCGCTTCGCTCATTCCGCCGGCCCGTATTGTGCCATCGCAGGCGTTTGCTTGCGCGTTCGTGGCCTCTTGGAGCCTCGGTGGGGCCGTTTGGGGCCTCTTGGCGCCTCTTTTTAGGCCTCTTGGAGAACTCGGGAGGCCTCCAGGGGGCCTCCTGAGCTCTCGTGACGGTCTCTTGGGGGGCTTTCGGCGGGCTCTTGGCGGTATTTGTTGGTCCTCTTGGGGCCTGGGGCCTGACGTTGTTGGTCCTCTTGGGGCCTCACGGGAGCTTATTGGGGCGTCTTGGGGGTGTCTTGGAGAGTCTCTTGGGGCCTCTTTCGGGGTCCTGGGCGCCTTCTGGGGCGGAGGGCTCGATTTTTCAGTTCTCGGTTCCCTTCTTGAGCCCCTCTTGGGCCCGTCTTGGGGCCTCTTGGTCCGCCTTGGGCAGCACTTGGGCCGTCTGGGGGGCGCTCTTGGGCCGCTCCGGGGCCGTCTTGGGAGCCTCGTGGGCCGTCTTGGAGCAGTCTTGAAGGCCTCTCGGGCCCTCTTGGAGCGTCCGGAAGCGAAAAGGCCAGAACGCAAAAAAACATAGAAAAAACAATGAAAATCAACGATTTTGGCAACTTGGGGCCCTCTTCGGAGGCCTCTTGGAAGGCCCTTGGAGCGTCTTGGAGGCCTCTTGGGCTGTCTTGGGGCCATCTGGGGCGTCTTCGGGCGATCTTTGGCCGTCTCGGGCCTCTCTTGGACCGTCTAGAAAGCTTCTCGGGGCCCTCTTGGACCGATCTGGAGCCCTCTTGGACTCCGAAACAGAACTCCGGCATCTCTGGCCCGACCTTGCCGGGACCTTGCCGGGGACTTGCCGGGGACTTGCCGGGACCTTGCCGGGGTACTTTTCGTCCGGGGACCCCCAGGGGCCGCCCCGCGCGCGCGAACTAGAAATACTGTTAACCAGGTACCGGAGATCTTAGCACGCCCTGGCCCGTTGGGCCGGCGAATAGAAGCCTGAACAGACGAGAACGTGGAAATCATTCAAACACTAACGGGCAGTAAGCCTCTTGGGATGCCCTGGATTTGGGGGTTGGTTATTTTGGGCCATCTCGGTGGCTTGCCTGGGCCGTTTTGGAAGCCATCTTTGGCCAACCTTGACGCCCTGGAGTGCGCCTAGGACGCGGGGGTGCGCCCAGAAACCCTTGGAAGTTGGGGGCGATGCACGCGACGATGCGCGAAAAAGAGGCAGAAGATTTACAGAGACCCTACCAGACAGCACTTGGCGTTCTACCACGCCTCAGCGTGCCATGGGACACTGTGGCGGAGTTCTTCTTCGTGCCGTCCTGTGGTCATGCTGCTGTCGGTGGGGGTCAACTCTACATCCACACCGACCGAGCCTGGCCATCCGAGCCCCAGCCTCGGATCGGTGCGTGTGCCTTCCTTGCCAAGCCACGTCGATCTTGGCCCCGCTGTCGGCATGGCCGGGAGCGGTGCATGTGTGCATTGGCGTCCCCCATTACAGCTTGGGCGCAACCGGCCCGCGAGCGCTACGCGACCGCGTCATCAGGAGGGAAAGAAACACACAGACACAATTAATCGTCGACTCCCAGGAAAATATGGGAAAATATTGGAATTGGGGGGGAAGACAAAAAACCCAGAAAATATGGAAAAATATGGGGAATTTTGTTCTTTGTGTGTATTTAGTTGTGTGTCCCAGGGCCCCTTCAATTCAGGGGTGCTCTGGATGTCCCCCCCGTCTGCACCTCGCGCGCGGCTTCGCAGGGTCCGGCCTCCTGCGACGGGGGGTTTCCTGCGCCCGCGCCCCCCCGCTGCGCGGCAGAGTCGCGCCGGGGGCTCTCCCCGCGCGGAGGGGCGATCGTCCCCATGCTGATCGTCGTTGGGGGCGAGGGCGCCACCAACTTCCCGCTGGACGAGCTCCACACCTGCTGGAAGGCGACTGCCGGGCGGGCCGGGGGGGCGTCCCGTCGGGAGCGGAAAAGAGGGCCGGGGTGATGACTAGGGGGGGGGATATCATGGCGGGGGCCATGATATTTCCCCAGATCTCATGGCGCCTCTTCTTTTTTCATTACGTCCCTGGCCCCCCCGCTGGGCCGCGCACATGCCGCTGGTCATGATTTGCACCCCCCCCCTCTTGGACACCCCCCTCTTGGCCGCTCCCGATCCCGGGAGCCCACAGAGTTTCGACGGCTCGATCCTCCCGCCTCGCTTGCCGCACGGAGCTCTCGACCCCCTTCCCGGGACCGCGCCGCTCACCCCGAGCCGCCTCTTGTCGGCTCTGGGGGGCAGGGAAGCCGCCGTTGGAGCCCGAGCGTCTCGAGCAGACGGAGAGCTACAGTCAACTCGCATAGTAAGAATGGGCGCGCTTTGTGGCGGACCAGCTTGTTTGCATGGGGTGGTGTAGTGTACAACAAATCGTGCCAATGGATGCAATTTTTGTACATTGCCAACACTTCACGGTCTTGTGCCGGGCCAGCTTGTTCGTGTGGGGGGGCGCAAAAATCGTGTCCCCGATTGGCTCAGGTTTGCCCGCAGGTTCCTGCAGGATCTTGCAAAGCCTGATTGACTCGGGTTTGCACTGACTTGGTTCATTGCGTCTCCGATGGATGTGGACGTGATGCCCGCGCCCCAGGGGCATGCGCAGATAGGTCCGTGCCCACTGGCTGCGGAGGCCCCCGAGGGTCGGTCCCCCCTGGGTTGTTGCCGTGGGCGAATCCCCGCCGCGGAGGTGCCCCAAACAAGCAGTGGCGAGGCGTCCTGACCTGCCTATAGGCCCACCAGAGAAGGTTCTAAGAACCTGTCGTGCTCTGCACGGGATGTTGTTGGCACATCTCTGGCTGGGGCTGTCCTGTTTTCATACACGGTACGTTCCAGGAACAGCGCGTTTGGGCGTTTGGTCTTAGGAAGTTCTGTTGTTCTAAGAAGATTTCGGGGTAGGCCTGTAGGAATGTTGGGACAGTCGGCCCCGACTCAATTCAGGGCTTCAGTCGAGTAAGCGCAAGCATGGGCCAAAGCGCGTGGATTAGCGACGGTTTCTGGTGTCCGCGAGGAGTCGGCGGGATCCGTTGCCAAAAGCGGCTGCGTCGGCCGCCTGTTCGGGGGGTGCCGTCACGCGCCAGATCCACGGATCCCGAATCCATGTCAGAGTGTGCCCGATTCCAAGGGCGCCCTCGAGGGCGCGAAGTTGTTCGCGCTTCGCGCCTCGCGCTTCGGCTCCGATTCCTCCTCATCCTCATCTTCTTCTCTGGGAGGCGGCGCGAGACCGCGACGTTCTTCGCACTTCGCGCTTCGCGCAGCGCGAGGCGCGAAGTTGGGAGCCCTTGGATTCTGTCAGGTGTTTGGGGCCGAGGGCGCGGCTCGCTCTCGACGCAAGCTGCGAGAGTTGGTGGCGCCGCAGTTCACCTCGTCGTGGCTGCCACCGGTTTCGATCATTGGGGGGACAGGTGACAGCATCGCAGAAGATCACGACCAGAACCGTAGACCCCAGACCTAATCGTTCTGCGGCCTTTTTCGAGCCGGATCGATCCCCGAGGGTCCTTGGAATCGAAAAGGGCGATTATCGCCCAGCAGCTAGAATCGTAGTGGAGGGTGCTGCGCGCTCGCTGAGCGAGCTGCGAGAACCGGCAGCGCGGCAGTTCACCTCCCCGCTGCCACACGGAGGCTCTCCTCGTGGAGAGGGGCTTCCGCGCGGTGCACGTGGAGCAGAAGAACTACGTCCGTTGGAGGGGGCTGGGCTTTCAGGGCTCAGAAGGGCGGACGCTGATGAAGCAGGTTGTGCTTGCGATGATGATCATGATGATGATGATTATGATGATGATGATGATGATGATGATGATGATGATGATGACGATGATGATGCTGATGATGATGATGCTGATGCTGATGCTGATGCTGCTGATGCTGATGCCGATGCTGATGAGGATGATGATGATGATTATGATGTTGATGATGGTGGTGGTGGTGTTGATGGTGATGCTGATGCTGATGGTGTTGGTGTTGGTGACCGCGATGATTATGAAGGTGAAGATGCTGATGATGATGATGATGATGATGGAGATGAGGATGGTGATGATGACGGTGGTGATCGTGATGATGACGACGATGATGATGTTGTTGGTAATGATGATGATGGTGAATGTGATGGTGATGGTGATGGTAATGTTGCTGCTGATGATACTGATGCTCATCACCATGCTGCTAATGCGGCTGATGATGATAGCTATGATGATGACATCGACGATGGCGATACTGATATGGTTGATGGTGGTGACGATAATGATGATGATGATGATGATGATGATGATGATGATGATGATGATGATGATGATGATGACGCTGATGATGATGATGATGATGATGATGATGATGATGATGACGCTGATGATGATGATGATGATGATGATGATGATGATGATGGTGCTGACGATTATAATGATGATGGCTGTGATGGTAACTTTATTGTCGAGGATGATGTTGACGCTGATGTTGAACTGCTGATGCTTGTGTTAACGATGACGATGATGCAAATGGTGATGACGCTGATGGAGACGGCGGTCGTGATGACGCTAGAGATGTTGATGATGCTGATGACGACGATGACTGTCGGCGGCGGCGACCACGGCGTCAGCCGCCGCGCCAGCCCGGAGCGGGCGCGGAGGACCCCCGAGTTCTTCGGGCACATGCCCCCCGGGCTGGTCGACGTCGTCCTCGAGGACGCTGCGGGCTCGCCCCGGGGCGCCCGCGGGGAGGGTTCGGGCCCCGGCGGCCACGTTCGGGGGTGGCTGAGGACAGAGATGAGCTCAGGGGGGGTGGGAGCGTCGAGCTGGAGTCGGCGACATCCAGTGGCGCTGCCGCGCGATCCCCGCCGCCGCGCTCGGGCGGGCGGGGAGGGTGGGGGCGCGCCTCGGGGGGGGGGGGGGAGGGGGGGTTGGGGGGGAGGGGCCACGGACCCCCCCATTGCGCAGGCTTCGAATGTGGGGCACTGTCTTGCCTGGAAGGCCAATGTTAGCCAGTGTGGAACCCCAAGCAGTGTGGTTCTAGCAATCCGCGTGGTGCAGTATCTGTTGTGCAATCTATGCGATCCAACCTATGCGGTGCAAATCATCATGTTGTAAAATGTATATATATATAGAGAGAGAGAGAGAGAGAGAGAGAAATCTTTGTGTGCCAATATATGTGTCTCAATCTATGTTTGCAATATGTGTTGTGGCATCCATGTTCCATGTTGTGCAACCTGAGGGCAACATATGTGGTGCAATATATGTGGTACATCCCATGTCGTGCAACCTCTTTGGATATGTATTTATATATGCTGTGCATGTATGTAGGGATACCTATGTGGTGCAGTCTATGCGGTACAACCTATGTGGTACAGTTAATGTGGTGTGTAATCTGGGTGGTGCAACACATGTTATTCGGTTTATGCTGCGCAGCCTGTGTTCTGCAGTCTTTGCTGTGCAATCTACGCTGTGCAGTCGATTTGTTGCAATACATGTTGTGAATCCCATGCAGAACAAACCATGTGATGCAATCGGGGATGCGCAGTATATGTGGCGCAGTCTATGTGGGGCAATTTGGGTTGTGGAAACTGTGGTGCAGTTGATTTTAACAAACGAGTTGACACATCCCGCGCTCTTGCAAACATCCCACCCACCCACCCGCAACTTGGTTTGCAAAACCCAGGGCGGCGATGACGACGCCGACGACGACGACAACGACGACACCAACGTCGACGACGACGTCAACGACGCCGACGACGACGACGACGACGACGACGACGACGACGACGACGGCGGCGACGACGACGACGCCGACGTCGGCGACGACGAAGACGACGACGACGCCGACGCCGACGACGACGAAGACGACGACGACGTCGCCAACGAAGACGACGACGAGGGAGGAGGGAGGACGACGACGGCGACAACGACGACAACGATGACAACGACGAGGGAGAAGGGAGGACGGCGACGACGCGAACGACGAAGAAGGAAGAAGGACGGCGACGCCGACGACGACAACGACGAGGGAGGAGGGAAGACGACGACGACCACAACGACGAGGACGACGACGACGACGGCGCGATAGGAGGGACGACGACGAGACGCCGACGACGGACGACGACGACGACGAGGAGGGAGGAGGAGGAAGGACGACCACGGCGACAACGACGACGGAAACGATCACGACGCCAAAGAGGACGACGACGACGAACACGAGGAACGACAGAGGACGACGTAGGCGACGACGACGACGACGCGGGAGGACAGAGGACGGCGACGACGACGACGACGACGACGACGCAAGAGCGCGCGCGCACGCTTTTGTTGAAACTCCGTGTTGCGAAACCTTGTGTTTTTTTGCAGGTTTTTTTTGGACACACGATTTTGAAATCCTTCCGAAACCGATGGGTTTGCAAGGTTTTCGGCTTACGCGCGCGACGACGCGCGCGTCTGCACTTCGTCCATTTGTTTGCAGAGGATTCTCGCGACGGCACACGCGCAAGGGCGTTCGACAGATTTCGACATGCGCGCGCGCGAAGCCCGTTTAATAGCATTTTGTGAAAATTCTGAAAAACCAATGGTTTCCTTAAGATTTCGCACGAGCTCGAAGTTTTTCTGGCAAATCAGTGTTGCGAAACCTTATGTCTTTGTAAGCTTTTTGGCAACAGGATTGCGAAATCTCTCCGGCACCGAAGGTTTTTGAAGGATGTCGGCATGCGCGCGCGACGACGCGCGCGTGCGCACTTCGTCACATTTGTTGCAGGGGATTCGTGAACAACTGCTATGTTGGAGCAACAAATGTCACCGCATAGTGTTTTTTTACAAGGGAACCTCAGGGGGGGATACCGGCCCCCCGGGGATAGTGTAAATTCATATTTCGGGTGGACATGTGGTCAGAATCGTATATGATTTACATACCCGGTAGGTGATCCGATAGCGCCGGGGGGGGGTAGATCCTATTCTGTTTTTAGAAAGGAGAATCTACGTGGTACAATACAGGTTGTTCAACTGATGTTGTGCGTTCCATCTTGCGCTACCGGTGCAACCTACGTGGTGCAACAACTTTTGGTTCGCAGTGAATTGTCAACTTCACTGCTGCTGCAATCCTCCCACCCACCCACCCACAACCTGGTTTGCAGAACGCTTGCGGCGGCGATTGCGATGGCTGCTCGCGGCCGCGCTAGCGCGCGCACGTTCGCGCGCAGAACGCCCAGCTAGTCAGGCGCGACCGACGCGGCCGCGGTTGTGCTGACCTGCGGGGGCTTCCCACCGCGTCCCGCCGGCTTCGCTGGCGCGCGGGCACTTTTCCGTGCGAGTCGGTGCCTCGGCCGGGCGCGGCACCTCGGCGACGTCGACGACGGCAGACACGCTGATGGTCATGACGACGGCAAGGCCAATGGCTGCGCGTGTTGATCACGCCGATGGCGACGATGGTGTTCACGCGTCGGTAATGAAGGTTTTGGGAAGTTTCGACGGGCGCGCGCGGCCAACGTGCGCGAGTGGCCCGCATGTTTTGTTTTTTGACAGGGGGTCGCGTCCCCCAGCAGGCGCGCAAAGGCTTTCGAGCGATTTCGACATAGCCGCGCGAGAGGCACGTTTGGTCGCATGTGATGAAAGTGTGAAAGAAAACACGGTGGTTTTCTTCTGGAGAGCCCGTAAGAACGCGAGCGCATGTTGGTATGGCACGCTTGTGTTGCGAACCCGGTGGTTTTTGATTGCTTTTGTGACACTCGAGTTTGGAATCCGTGCGAAAGTTGAGGTTGTCGAAGGGTTTCGGCATGCGCGCGCGACGGCGCGCGCGTGTACACTTCGTCATGTCCTGTTGCAAGGGATTCTTGTGACAGCACGCGCGAGGGCTTCCGAATGATCTCGACATGCGCGCGCGACCGACACTTTTTGTCGCATTTGGTTCCAAGATTGAAAAACCATTGATTCTCCCAAGAATTCGCAACAGCACGCGCAGGATCTTCCTGTTCGTGTTTGCTGAGTTTTGGTTGCGAAGACACTTCTTGTATACGTTTCCAGAATACTTCGTTGTGGCATTGTTGCAAACCTTCCGGTTTTAGCAGGATTGATTTATTCCATCACGTCTCTGTTGCAAGGGGTTCTTGAATCACGGTGAATATAAAAAGGGTGCGCGCACTGTACGAGTTGTCAGGGATGGCGGGGGAGGGGGGTCGATACCATTTGGGTGTGTGATGATATGACTTCCAAGGCAACATGAACGAGAAGGCAGAATCATATGCAAACTGCAGCACGCGAGGGTGAACGGTTAAGTCTGGTTTCGGTGAGGTGGTGGAATCTATTAATCCCGCCACGTGCTTGGGTTGTGTGAAGGAACCATAGGCCTCGAGGATGTTCGTTGGGATGTCGCGGAAGGCCTCCCAAGTGTTTTTCTGCAGAGCGTTTTGCAGTTTTTTGGTGACCGTTTTGGGGCCTCTTAAGGTGTCTTCGGTGCCTCTTGGGGGTCTCTTGGGTCCTCTTGGGGGCCTGTTGGGGCCTCCTTGGGGCTTCCTGGTGGCCTCTTGGGGCGGAAGACTCTTTTCAATTCGTGTTCCCCTTCTTGGGTCACTCTTGGGTCTGTCTTTGGGCCGTCTCGGGCGCCCCTGGGACCGTCTTGGAGCCCTTGCGGGTGGTGTTGGGGCCTTTCTGGGGGCCTCTTGGCCAAGTCTTGCAAGCCGTCTTGAAGCGTCGGGGGCTCAAAAGGTCAAGGACCCAACAATCATTGAACAATCTATGGGATGTCACTGGTGTTGGCCTCTCGGGGCCCTCTTGGGGAGGCGCTTGGGGCTCTACTGGGGCGTCCCAGAGGCCTTTGGGCCGTCTTGGGACCATCTTGGGCGTCTTGGTGCGATCTTTGGGCGTCTCGGGGCCCTCTTTGACCATCTTGGGATGCTCTTGGGGCTCTCTTGGCCCGTCTTCGGGCTTCCTTAGGGTCCGGAATAGTCACGCGAGAAGCGGCGGGGAGCGGCGCCAAGCCCCAAGAAGCCCCAGAAGTGAGGAGTGAGCCTTCGAGGAAAAAGTGCCTGAGGGCACGCCCACTCAGTGCCCGAGGGCATGGTGGCGGATTCTGTTTTCGAAAGGAGAGTCTACGTGGTGCTATATATATATAGATATATATAGTTGGAGCTATCTATATGGAGCAGTATATGTCTTGTAGCCGATGCTGTGCAATCGATATTGTGCAATCTGTATAGTGTGCAATCTATGTTGTGCAATCTTTGTGGGGCAGTACATCTGGTGCAATGCACGTGGTGCAGTCTATGTGGTGCAATGAGTTTTCCTCCGCGTTGAGTTGTCAACTCCATTGCTCACGTAATCATCCCACCCCTCCACCCGCAACTGTGTTTTCAAAACTCGCTTGTGAGCGTTTTTTGTTCCCACCCAGGGTGACTCTCGTTACCCCCCCGGGGTAACGCTAACGAGCGTATTGGGGTGGGGTGGCCTGGACCCCCCTCGACATGCTGTGGGTGATGCGCACAGGCGATTGATGCGCCGGTGGCGCAGAAGCACCCTGGTGGGTGCACGCCGCGGCCGCCGTTACCATTACCTTCCCGCCCGACCCCTCCTCCCGAGTAGCGACCGTTACCCGTGAAAGAAAAAAATATCCTTTTGGCGCTTGCTTGCGATTCGCTGCGGCCGCGCTGGCGTTCGCAGGCTCGCGCTCAGAGCGGCCAGCTCGTCTGGCGCGACCGACGCGGCCGCGGTGG